GGAGGATGGATGATGGGTGGGTGGATGGATGGATGGATGGATGGATGGATGGACATGATAGATGATGGGTGGGTGGATGGATGGATGGGTGGATGGATGATGGGTGGATGGATGGATGGATGGAGGAGTTAGTGGATGGATGGACGGATGGATGATGGGTGGATGGGTGGATGGATGATGGGTGGATGGGTGGGTTCGGGGAAAGGTGAGTGGATGGGTGGCAGTGGCAGTGGGTAGGTGAGTAGATGAAGGGCAGATGGACCACCCTTCTCCCAGTTATTTGCATAAATGTCACCTTCCCTATTAGGTATTCCTTGACCGGCCCATTTACAAATAAAATCCCCAGCCACTGGCTCTCCCTGCTGTATTTCACTCCACGCTCGATAATTTCTTTCTTTCTTTTTCTCTCCTCTCTTTCTTTGTTCATGGTCGGTCTCGCCTGACATCTAGCATGGGGTTGGGACAGAGAAGCTGCCCGACAGATCTGTGCCAGATGACTGAATGAGCCCATGGGAGATGGAACGGCTGAGGAGCAGGTGGGTGGGCGGGGGCCTGATGGGATGGGGCGGGGTCCACCTGTAACTTAATGGCCCTTAGGCGCCTCTTTTCTCCTGCAGACCCCAGGGAGGGAGGGTTGGCTTCCAGGCCTCCTCAGGAGCTAAGAAGAAGGGGACAGAGGGGCAGCTGGGACCAGTGGGGCTGGGGTCCTCCGGCCCTGGACACACCCGGAGCTCCAACCGAACCTATAGGGCAAGAGCCTGTATGTCCACACAGACATACACAGTGTGTCCACCCACAGAAACACACACAGTGTGTCCACACATACGCACAGGCACTCACAGAATGTGTCCACACACAGACACACACAGTGTGTCCACACGCAGAGACACACACACAGTGTGTCCACACATACGCACAGGCACTCACACAATGTGTCCACACACAGACACACACAGTGTATCCACACACAGACACACACACAGTGTGTCCACACATACGCACAGGCACTCACACAATGTGTCCACACACAGACACACACATCTACTGGCCCTTGCACAGACGCTCACCCAGAGCTTGGGGTAGCAGGGGCTGCAGCAGGTTCTAAGGACACCAGCTCTGTCCTAAGCGTCTTCCTGTCCCCACAGGCCCCAGGAGGAGATGTTGTCACCGTCCCTGTTTTACACTGGGTCCTGGACCCACAGCTGTTAAGGGAATCTCTGTGGGTGGCACACGGCCCCTCACACGCAGGCCCACGGCGGGCACGCGCACACGCAGAACACACAGTCGCCCGCCCGCTCCTCGCTGACACCTGTCCCCAGTGGCCAGCGTGGACGCCGAGGAGGGTGCCCAGCTTGTCTGCAGTCCTGCGGGGTGTCCTCAGGCCTCCTTCTCCGAGGAAGGGCGGGCGATGGAGCGGGGCCAGTGGCCACGCCCAAGTCTGGCTCAGCCCCCTTCGGCCTCTCTGTCTCTGTCCCAGCATCGTGATGGCCAACGCCTCCTCCCAGGCCCTGTCCCAGCATCATGATGGCCAATGCCTCCTCTCAGACCGGTGGCCCGACGGCAGGCACCGCCTATGGGCCAGGGCCAGAGGCCAGGCCAGACAGAGCTCATGCTGCCACCCTCTGGCCCTTCCCAGTCCCTGCTCCTGGGGCAGGGGTCACAGACCACGGTCCAGGATGCAGCATCCTGAGCTCACAAGAGCCTGATGGTCACTTTAGGGAGAGGACACTGGCTATGGCTGTGGGGTGAGGGCCCACGAGGAGCAGCTGCAGAACGCTGGGACCCCTTAGGGGGGCGAAAGGGCTGCCGAGTCCCCTGAGTCCTGTGGCTGGGCTGCAGGAAGACCTGCGTGTGGGGGGTCAGCAAAGACACGTCTGCCTCACAGGGGCGTGGTGGGGGGTGAGTCTGGGCAGCTCAGCGTGGACGACCCTCAAACGGAGTAGCCCGCTGGGCTCTCGGCCTCCATCGTGGGTGCCTGGGTCAGCCCAGAGCCCACGAACAGGGGCCCGGGCCTGCAGAGCCTGCCGGAGTGGCCAGAGGCGGCTACCCCCCAGGGACCAGGGCAGGGACCTTCCTGGTGACAGAGGGACACATTGGCCCCTTTCTCAGTAGCTTTCACAAGGTTCAGCCTTGGAGAAGAGTGAACAATAGGGTCAGAGGACACCCCCACGCCAGCGGGAGCCCCAGGCCTGCTGGCCTCTCTCGGAGTTGTGGCCTCAGTCCTACAGGGAAAGGCGCAGAGGGGTGCCAGAGGGCTGGGAGTCTCCTGTGGCGCCCAGCACGCCCTGGGGGAGGGCTGCTGGCTGGGGTGGCATTCACGGGGGGCCGGCCCTCACCCCCTCCCCTCCCTCCCTGCAAAGCCTCAGCCAGTGGCAGAAGACTGCGCAGGTGGCTGTGGTCACTGGGATTGGCATCCAGGGATAGAGGCTTGTGGGGCTGGACGTGGCCTCTCCCCAAAGGAAGCATCGCGGGAGCTCAATCCCACGCGTGCGCTGCTGGCCCCAGGGCCATCTGTGGCTGGAACAGGGATGAAGGCGGCTGCAGGTAAAGCTGGAGCACAGGCCAGCTCGGACGTCCCTCCGGACAGCTGAGTGCACACAGGTGGCCCCTGCACGCCTCAGGACCTGTGCAGCCGCGGCCCGGCCTGCGCTGAGCCCAGCCCCTCCGGGCCCTGCCTCCCACTGGACCCAAGGACTTGCCCGGACACCCCGCTTCTCCCGCGGCGGCTCACGCACAGGCACACTCATGCGTTCACTCTGTCACATGCTCATTCATCCAACAGCTTGGGCTCCGGGCCTGGAGGGAGCAGTGAGCACCCAGCGGCCAGCAGCCCGAAGCGGGAAGCAGACGCACGGCAGATGAGTGAGCGCAAGTCACTTCAGCGGGGCGGGCTGTCCGATAAACAACTCCAGTGTCACAGAAAGGGGGACCCAGGGCCGGCGCCCCGCGCTGGTGGGGCTGGGGGCTGGGCGAGGGGGCCAAGCCAGGGCCAGGCGGCCGGGCAGGGAGGCGGCAATGGGCAGGACGGGCTGGTGATGGGGTTTTCTTGTGGGGTAATGGGGAGCCACGGAGGGTTGTGGGAAGGGGAGGAGCCAGTCTGGACTGGGGGTGGCCAGGGAGGGGCGTCCAGCGATGGGTTTCAGAGGTGGAGGGGCAGGACCGGACAGAGGAAAGGAGGGGACAAGGACGGGGTGTCCCCATGGTCTCTGAGGCTCCGGGACACCCCCTCAGGCTCCACATGCCCCAGGCTGGCAGAACCCACCGGCCAGCAGGGAGAGGTGCCTGGGTGTGTGGCCCCGTGGCCCCCAGCCTCCATCAGCATCTCCCTTCCAGAGCCTGCCCGAAGGCCTGTGGGGTCCTTGCCCGGGAGCCTCACTTTGCTGGAGCCTGGCATTTTCCGAGGGGCCTCAGAGAGCCCCTGTCCTCTGGCTGGGCTCGGGGGAAGCCCCGGTGTGCCAGCCCTCGGGCGGCTGTTGTGGGGGTGACCCGAGCCCCTGTGCCTGGGCAAAGCCACTGGAGCCTCCACCCAGGACCGCGGTCATCTGCCCGGACTCTGCCCGCGGTCCTGGGCGCCCTCTGGTGGCCAACGGGCCAGGCCGGAGAGGACACAGCGGGGGTGTCCCAGCGTGCTGGTCTGGATCTGGCCCCGCCCCTCCCCGAGCTCAGGGGAGGGAGAGTCCCTGGGAAGGGGTCCTGGGCGTCTCTCTGGGGAAGGGGCACACTGAGTGTCCCCCAGAAGCTCCCAGAAGCCGGATCCCCACTTTCCAGAGAAACCGAGGCCCAGAGGCCACATGTCCCAGCGCCCTGTCCTGCCCCTGGGTGAGGGGACAGTGTTCAGGTAATGGCCACGGTGCCCGAGAGCCAGCCCAAGCCGGCCACTCTTCTGGGAGGACGACACGCCCTGGGGCCGAGGCCTTGTGGCTCTGCAGGACCTAGGATGGGGGAGGGGCCGCCCCCGCCCCAGGCCTCCAGGGGACGCTGCCCTGGGCTCAGCCGGCCCCACGGGAGGGAGATAAGCCGAGGCCCTCCGGGGAGCCGAGGCATGTCAGCGAGCGACCCTGGCTGGACTCTGGGCCACAGGCCACCACCAGACAGAGCCCACCGTGGGCACAGCAACAGGCAAGGCGGCCCCGCAGCCACCCCCACATGGGGTCACCTCCCTGGCTTTGGCCAGAGCGGGGCTGCAGGCTGGCCGTGTGGACATCAGTGCCCACCCCGCCCTGCGTCGGTCACCGCATTGGCTGCCCGGGTGCCGGGAGTGGCCAGGGAGGGGCGCAGCTGCAGGTGCCCGCGCTGTGGGCAGCTCCGCGTCTCCTTGGCCAGCAGCAGCGCCATGTCCTGGTGCTGGGGAGAAAGCAGGCAGGTAGGTGCCTGGAGCCACCGGCTCCCGGGTGGGAGCTGGCGTGGGGGCCCTCGTCCTGGGCAGGGTGGGGAGCTGGGGCAGGAGGGTGGCCTCACCGCCCTGGGTCTGGACGTGGGCGACATCGGACCAGCAGCCAGGAGAGGCTCGGAGGTGGCAGGTGCGGGGCAGGGGCTGAGGGGCACACGGGGCCCCCTCCAGACCCAAGGCCTCCACACCTGGCCCAGGGAGACCCCTGGGTCCTCACTGTGGGGGAGGGAGGTTGGAGGGGCCACAGCGCCAACCGCTGTCCGCGGAGTGTGGACTGCTCAGCGCTTTCCCGTGGCCACCGCTGCCTTCCAGCACCTCGTGGAGGGGAGGGGGCCCTGGGAGTCTGGGGGGTGGGGTGGCCATGCAGCTTGGGGAGGGGCTGCACCGTGACCCCCGGGACCCGGCTGCCCAGTGCTGCCCACGCTGATGTCCTTTCTCTGGTGGCCGCCTGCCCCCAGAGCAAGGACCCCCGGCGCCTAGGCCATCGGGGTGAAGATCTGCGTGCCCACCCCCTCAGGACTCGGGCAGGATTCCCGCACAGGACCCCCCTGCCGCCCCACCCCCTCCAGGAACAAGGGAGATGTTAAGAATATGGACACCTGCTCATGCAAATCCATTTGCATCCCCTTCCCATTTGGTGGCCGCATTTGCCTGGAGTCTGGCACAGTGCCACCCCCGGCACCCGGCACCATGCCCCGATGTCCCCTGTCCCCTCGGCCCCGGGCTGGGGGCTGGGGTCCAGGCCAGGCCTGCTGGGCTGTGGGGTGACAGGCGGTGGTTTGTCCCCCAGGGAAGGTGAGGCCGGCCCTCCGCACTCCAGCTGTCCCATCAGTGGGGACAGAGACCTGGGGGCACTCCAGGGCCCCCTTGTGAGGCAGGGCCATCCTTGCCAGGCCCCCTCCTTGAACCAGCTGAGGCTCACGGGGTATGAGCATGTTGGTGCTGTCCTGGCCTCAGAACCCCCAATCCCCATTCGGCACCCCCGCTTTCTGGCCACGGGTCAAATGTGGACAGAAATGACCCCGATGGTGGCCAGGCGTGACGGGGCCCTGGCAGGAGTGAGGAGGGCCGTCTCTGGGGTCTCCGCTCTGCCCCCCACATAGAGTATGCTCGCCCCACCTTGCTGCACATGCTTGGAGTTTGAAGAAGGTACCCCAAGATTCTCGTCCACCCCGAGTCTCAGAATGCAGCCTGATCTGGAACAGGGTCTCTGCAGGTGTGATTAGCTAAGACGAGGTCACGCGGGAGTAGAGGGAGCCCCAATCCAATGACCGGTCCCTGTAAGAAGAGGGACATTTGGACAGAAACACACAGGGGAGGCCACGCGAAGATGGAGGCAGAGGCTGGGGTGACGTGGCCACCAGCCCAGGAGCCCCCGGAAGCTGAAGGCAGCGGGAAGGACCCTCTCCGCAGCCTCCGGAGGGAGCGGGGCCCGGTGACCCCTGGGTACGCAGTCCGCAGGACTGTGTACAGCTGCCCCGGACGCTCCTACACAGCTCCTGGCTTGTCCGCCCCGCCCCCCCTCCACACACACCCAGGCCTTGTCCTCGGACACCAGCCGGTGTATTAAAAGCCAATGGTCACCGGCTTGGAAAGGCCGCCTTCAAAAACCCCCGCCCGCAGCCTGGGCACCAAGGTCCCTCTCCAGGGCTTGGGGGTGGAGGGTTTGCATCCCTCCCCCCGCCTTAGGGCTGTGTCCAGGACCCTTTGAGGCCACTGTGGGACTCAGGGGTGGGGCAGGGGACCCGTGTGCGACCACACAGCCAGTGGGACGCCGGACCTGGCCTGGGCTGGCAACACGCATGCGGGCCGGCCGATGACCGCACAGAGGGTTCCAGGGAGGCCACAACGAATGACCACAGACTGGGCCTCTTAAAACAGCCTCCCGTGATCTGGAGCCAGGAGTCCCAAATCGAGGAGTCACGGGGCCACGCTCCCTCCCGTGGCTCCCCGGGAGGCCCAGGTGTTTCTGGGCTGGAGGCAGCATCCGTCCCCTCTCCGCGGTGACAAGGACAGCAGCGGGTGGATGAGGGAGGGTCCTCAAGATGCCATCGAGCATAGCCGCATCTTGCGAGGAGCCTGCTTCCACAGAAGGCCCCAGGACGTGGGGCTCAGACACCGTCCTGGGGGACACAGCGGGGACCGTGACAGCACAGGTCCCTGTGGTGCCCTGCTCACCGCCTGTGGGCACACGCGGCCCCTCTCCAAGAATCGAAGGGCTGGCTGGCCCTGAGGACAGGAGCCACCAGTGCGAGGGGCAGCGGGAGGGGCTCCTGTCACAGGGCCTGTCCTGGCTGGGCTCCGCCCAGGGCGCCTATGGGGGCAGGGCCAGGGCGGTGGGAAGCTGGAAATGACTCAGCGGGGGGCGGGACTGCCCACTCCCTTGCTGGACTGGGCACCTCTGGAGCAGCCAGAGGACCAAGCCCCGCAGGACGGGCCTCGAGGGGCAGGGCCGCCCGGTCTCCGGAACCCAGAGCCCCACAGCCTCTGGAGAGGGCAGGATGTGCCGGGCAGTGAGGCCGTGGAGCCTCAGTGGCCATGATGGCCATGGCTGAGGGCAGGAGGATGGGAGATGCCGGGGGCAGGTCAGAGAGGTGCTGGGGACACTTGCAGGTGGGCAGCGTGGTGGGACCCAGCTTCCGGTCACATGGGCCAGCCCTTGGGTCTCTGCAGCATGGAGGGGCTGATGCATCCGAGCCCCCGGCTGTGGGAGGTCAGGTGGCATGGCACTGGGCACAGCCTGGTGGCAGGGAGGGGGGGCCCACA